ATGATGATGATTATAATGATGGCGCTGATGATGGCGATGATGATGGTGGTGGTGATGGTGGTGGTGATGATGATTATAATGATGATTATGATTATGATTATAATGGTGACGATGATTATGATGATGATGATGACGAGAATAAGAATGAGAATGAGAATGAAAATGAGAATGAGAGTAATGATGATGATTATGATGATGATGACGATGATTATGATAATGACGACGAGAATGATGACGAGAATGAGAATGAGAATATTGATGATGATGTTTATGATAGAAATTGTGATGATGATGATGATGAATATAATGTTGATGATGATGATGATGATGATGATGATGATATCGGAGAAAATTTTAATTGGAATGTGAGTTTCGCAGTAACTGTTTATGTAAAACTTTTTTATTTACTTTTGAGAGTACGTAACCGGAAATACGTCACGACCGTTATATTGATTTAAAAAAGGCGAAGAAAAAAAGGAAATCAGAAAAACATAAAAAATAAATTTAAAACGTCGTCATCGTGTTTTTTTTTTTTTTTACCTTTTCACGTTTGTTGACGTTTTTATATAATTACATTACGCGCGCGTAAAAGGAAATAAAAAAAAATAAAAATCAAAAAAAAAAAAAACAGGGGGAAGGGGGGAGGGGGGGAGGGAAATTTTTTTTATGATGAGCATTTACATTACGTTATAACAAGACCACAACAACAACAGCGACGATAATAATAATAATACAATCTTTAAAATAAAACGGCACTCAAACAACAAGAGAGAAAGAGTTTTGAAATGTAATAATTGCTGGGAGAAAACAAAATATTATTACTTTTTTTTTTCGTTTGTTTGTTTGTTTGTTGTTTGTTATTCTCTTTTTTTTTCAATTTTCTCTCATCCTTTTTATTTTTTATTTTTCCTCTTTCGCCATGTCATCCGCCAGATAATTAATTTTTTTTTTTTAAAAAAAAACAATGAAACCGAAAAATTAAAAAATAATTTTTTTTTGCAATTGTCGTTTTGTTGTTGTTGTTGTTGTCTTTCCTGAATGAGCTTTTAAGGGTCAAATGTTTGTTTGTTTGTTTGTTTTAACGCTTTAGGAAAAAAAAAAAAAATTTTTTTTGTTTTCGTTTTATATATATATTTATTTTTAAACGCGTCGAAAACAAAAGAATTGTTTTTATTTATTTATTTTTACAAAGTAGCAGAAGACAGGCGAATAGTATTGAGAGAGAGAGAGAGAGAGAGAGAGAGAGAGAGGTTCGATTCGTTTTTCTTATCACAAAACATTGATAATAATAAAAAAATTATAACGAACTATAAGAGTATCACGCATTATTATTATTATTATTATTATTTATAAATTTTTTAAAGTTTCGGCGTTTGTTAAGTAAAATTTACGTTTACAAAAAAGCATATTTCCTATTATTATTATTATTATTATTATTATTATTTTTGACAATTTTAACGGATTTATAACGTTCTAGGTCATTACGACCTAGACAAACAAACAAACAAACAATTTTGTCGTCGACCGACAACCTACGATAACCTATGACAACTTTTTACTCCTCCTCCTCCTCTTTTTGTGATTTATTAACGCTTTTATTTTATATAAATTTTAACAATTTAAATAATAAAAACAAATATGGCGTCCGACGATTTTTTTTTCTCTAAAACTTAAGATACATAATTATCATCATCAAACCGGAAATGATTTGTAGAAAGACAAAAAAATAAGGATTTTTAAATGAAATAATAATTTTTTTTTTTTACTGTTTAAATCAGTCTTTTATTATTATTATTATTATTATTATTATTACATAATATTTTTGTATATATACATATATAAATTATTTATATAATCAATATTTTTGTTTGTTCGTTTTAAAAAAAATTTTTTTTTTATTGTTAAGAAAAATAATAATAATAACACGGGCACGCACACAACAACAACAACCAAAAAAAAATAATAATAATGATAATTTTATTTATTTATTTATTTACACGTAAAAGTTAATTTAAAAAAAAAAAACTCCTCACGGGATAATGATTTATGTCGTCGTGACGTCACAAATCGGATTTTTTTTCGCTCGTGTGTGTGACGTCACAAATCGGATTTTTTTTCGCGCGTGTGTGTGTGACGTCACACACACACGAATTCGATTTCGTTCGATTCGGTTGGGGAAAAATTTTTCCCACCGCGTTATAGAGATTAATCATTATGTAACAAATATTATTATTATTATTATTATTTTTTTAATTACGAAATCACGTTTTCCATTTTGGCATTCTTACATTTCTAATTATTATTATTATTATTCGGGGTATAAAAAGAGATAGAGAGAGAGAGAGAGAGAGTGTGTGTGTGTGTGTGTGTGTGTGGAAAAACACGTCGAGGGGTTATGGTGATAAAAGGTTAAGTGTTCGACTCCGATCTAAAGCCCAGACTTTAAGAAATAAAAAATTCTAAATGCCAAGAATTATTTTAAAATGGCGGGTTTAGGGAAAAAACAATTTATCTAATTCCAGAATGTGTTCCAGAATGTGTGACGTAATAAATCTTTTTTTTTTTTTAAATGATAAAAGGAAAAGAAATTTATTATTGAAAATTGATTCGAGGAAAAACGTTTGTTGGGTTTTTTTTTTTTAAATAAAAGGGATGATGATAAAAGGAATATAAGATGATTTCGTAGAAGGGAGTAGGTGGGAGGAGAGTAAGGAAGAAAGGGAGGAAGAAAGGGAGAAGGGGAGGGGGGAAAGAAGCAAACCGCAAAAAAAAAAAAAACGAAGCGACAAACTCGAAATGATAAACAAAAGCTGTGAAATTAATTTAATTTAAAAAAAAAAAAAAAGAACAAATTAATAAACTGATGGGTAACGTTAACCGAAGCGAAAAGGCAATTTGCCAACAAACAAACCCAAAACAACAAACGCAACAACAAAAAGTGTTTAAAAAAAAAAAAAAAAAATCTTTGTTACAAACGAAACGAAAAAAAAAAAAAAAAATTCGTTGGCAACAGAAAAAAAAAAAAAAAAAGGTTTCGTGGGGAGAAAAAAATAAAATAGGAAGAGTGGGGAAATTTGTAGCCAAACCGCAAAAAAAAAAAGAGAAAATTTTTATTTTTTCTCCTGTTGTTGTTTGTTGTTTGTTGTTGTTCCTCTTCTTTTTTTTTTTTTTTGTTTCTTTCCTTCTGGCTTAAATCCAACAACAAATTGACGACAAAATAAGAAAAACAAGAAAATCAACAAAAGAATTTTAAATAACCTTATCGTTAATAATAATAATATTCATAATTTTTTCGTTTGTTTTGTTTGTTTGTTTGTTGCTTCATTCGAATTTTTATTTTGATTTCTTTTCCATTTCTCATTATAAAAATTTACAATTCAAACCGACAGACAAAAAAATTTTTTTGATGTATGCTTTACATAATAAAATTATTAATTTATATTTAAATAATTTTTTTTTTTTTTTTGCGTTGGGGAGGGAGTTGAAATGGGGAGCCGGAGGGGTGGGGAAAAAGGGAGAGAGAGGAAGAGAGAGAGAAAGAGAAAAAGGAGGAATGACGTGGGAAGTAGATTTTTGATTTCTCTAGTTTTTTTTTTTTTCTTTTTAAACTGACGTAAAAATTAATTATTTTCATTTGTATTTTTTATTCCTTTGAAAAATGATAATAATAATAATGATGATAATAATAATAATAATAATAGCAGGAAATTTCCGGAAATGAATTTTAATTAAAATTTGATGATAAGGGGGAGGAGCGAGAAGGTAGAAAAGAAAGAAAAATTCGAAAGGGAGGGGCGAGTAGGTGGAAAAGAGGAAAAATTTGGAAGGGGAGGGGCGAGTGGGTGGAAAAGAGGAAAGTTCGGAGGGGGAACGAACAGTTGAATAAGAGGAAAAATTCGGAGGGGGGGCAAACAGGTGAATAAAAGGAAAAATTCGAGAGTGATCGGGAGGAATGACTCCTAAAAACCCCTCAAAAAAATTTTTGTTTTTTTTTTTTTAAACATGGCGTTTTCCAAAAATTTTCCCAAAATAATTTTTAGGAATTACCTGGTTCCGACCCTGATTTAACAAAAAATTACATAATAATAATAATAATGTTTTTCGCGATCGTTTTTACGTGTTGCTTTCACGAGTCTCGAGGGTTTCATTCGTCGGTTTCGTTTCTTATTCCGGTGTAAAAATTGAAAAAAGGAAAACATAAATCGGGGAGCGACGTAGGGGGAATCGAGGAAAGGATGGAGGGTGGAGGGGGGGTGGCGGCGGCACAAAAGAAAATTATAATTAAACTTAATTATCTATGAATTATCTAGGAAAATTAATTTAACAAAGTCCCAGGACGAAAACACTTGTATAAAAGTTTTTAACCGTTGTGAAATTATCCGTAGCCTCAAAAGTTGTTGTTGTCGTCGTAATTACCCAATTTGAAATTAGTTCATCGAAACCTTCCCCTCTCATTTTCCCCCTTCTTCCCCTCTCCCTCTCCCTCCCCACCTTTCAATGCTCGTAAAATATCATCATCATCATCGAAAGAAAAATAAACGATGGGGGGAATAAAATCGCGACGTTAAAAAACTAAAAAAAAAATTTTCTCCAGTGTGGTTCCAGGTTTTTCCAGTGGGGGGGTGGGCGTTAACTGATTCCAAACGGACATTTGCATGTTTTGTTTTGTAAAAAAAAAAGGGCGAAAAGGAAAATTTTAAGGGATGAAAATATAGGGGATAATCGAATAACGTGACGATTTTTTTTTTCCACGTCTGCACGCGTACACAATCTGGAATTTTCCCTCTCTCTCTTTCACCCTCTTCCAGTTAAAAAAAAAAATTTCCACCGGGATGTGACGTCACATAACAACCCTTTCATTACACGAAATCGAAAATTTTAAAAAAAACTCCATCACATTTTTATTAACATTGATTAATTATAACCGGAAGTTAAAAATGAAAAAAAAAAAAAAAATAATCAAAGCCTCCGCGATCGTTTTGTTGTTATAATTATAATTTTTATACGTAAACAATATGAGGAGGTTTTTGATTTTTATGCATATTAACCGGAAACGATGGTTCGTTATAAATATTAGTTTCCGTCGTCGTTGTTAATGAAAAATTTTTATTATTACTACAACCATCGTTAGTATTAATAAAAAAATTTTGAGCTTGATTTAAACCGTATTGCTTTTTATATAAATTATTATCATCATTATTATAATTATTTAATTGTCTATCGATAGGTGATTTTACATAAACGTTAACCGGAAGTTTACAATTACCACCATTACCAATATTATCTCTATGATTTAATTTATAATCATTTTTAGATTTTTTTAACACGTCAAAAACATCACAACCGTTTGGTTGTTGTTGTGTTTGTTGTTGTTGTTGCACGCCATCACCGTACCTGTAATACGTTTGATGTGTATCTTCGTAATTTTTCGTAGCATTTATATAATCGTGAACGGGATTTTTATTTTTTCTTTTACATTTGATAATAAAAAAAAAATAAACGAAACCCGTTAATAAAAAAATAATTAATATAGACAATATGGCGGACGTTAATATAAACATCCACGTTGCCGTACAATCGAAATTTGATTTCGCGACGTTTTTAAAAAGTATTTTTTCCGTCGATTTAATACCGCGACAATAAATATCATCTATGTCTAATATAACGGGTAGAAAATCTTTCTCGAAACTTCTAAACCTTAAATTTTTTTCCCTATCGTTATCATATTCGTAATTTTCATCGGAATCCGGTGATGACGATAACAACGATGACGTCAAATCCTCGCCATCGTATTCTTCGCTTTTACCATAATAATAATCTTTAATTAATTTTTCCGTTTTAGGTACGTTATCGATACACGTGTCGTAGCAATACGTTCGACTTCCGCACGTGCAATTTTTATAAATTTGACGCTCTTTCAATACCCACAACCAGTGAAGGGAACAATTGCACTGGAACGGGTTTTTACCCAGAGTTAAAGTTTCCAAATTGTCCAGTGGTAAATCGGATGCGTCGAGAGTTGAAAAATCGTTACCGGAAATGCGTAAGTGTTTTAAATTTGGTTTGTTAACGAATAAAAATTTGGGTAACCTTTTCAATTTGTGATTGTTGGACAAACTCACGTAATTTAAATTTGAATTGTCGATGAAAGTTTTCGAATCAATACGATATAAACGATCGCAATCGTCCACGTGTATTTCCCGTAATTTAAACAAACGACGAAACGAATCCGAATCAATGACGTCGAAAGTATTCGAACTCAAATTTATAAATTCTAAATAGAACAAATTATTAAAATGATTATTTTGTATCCGCGTTAAATTATTGTCGCTCAAATCTAATTTTTTCAAACGCGGAACGTTGGTAAAACTATCGTTGCCAACATCTCCGAGTAAATTCGAACGGATTTTAATAATTTCTAAATTTGTTAAATTTTTAGAAAAATGCACGTCTCGTATCAAATTATTATTTAAATCTAATTCCACGAGGTTTTTCAACGAGTGCATGGCATCGTCGGGTATTTTCATTAATTGATTCCCGCTCAAAACGAGCCTTTTTAAATTTTCCACGTGATCGAACGCTCCCGTTTCAATAAGATAAATATTATTTTTCGACAAGTTCAATTCTTTTAGGTTGCGCAAATGTTTAAAATATAATTTATCGTTTATTTCCTCTATGAGATTATCGCTTAAATCCAATATGGCGAGTTTTTCGAGTCCTTTGAAACAATCACGGTGTAAATTTTTTATTGAATTCCGACTCACGTTTAATTTGATCAAATTCATTTGAAATTCGAAATTTTTCGAACCTAAATTTTTTATTTTATTCACCGATAAATCCAAATCCATTAAATTTGTGTAAAAAATAAATGTTAAATGCACGCTTTGTATTTTATTATTGTTTAATTTTAACGTTTTTATATCCGGATTTAATTGTATTGGTACGACTTCGAGATTCGAATATTCGCACGAAGCTTTTAATTGTTTATCGTTACAAACGCATTTCGATGGACATATACCACTCGCCATATCCGCGAATAATAATAATAATAAGATAATAACCATCGTACTATTATTATTATCATCGTTAATTTTTTTTCGCGCGATTCGTTTGAGTATTATACCGACGTCATTAACAATATCACTTTGTTTGTTCTTATCACCCCCACCACCACTACCGCAAACACTATGTTTCGTCGTTTCCGTCGATGATAATAATAATAATTTTCGCCTTCTTCCCGGCGGCCATCTTGGATCTATCGATGTTCCCGTTTTTTTATCATTTTTTTCCCGTTGATTTCTAGTCGGTGATTTTTCGTCGTTTTTCTGTAAATCAAAAAAAAAAAATTATTTATAAATTTGTATCAATTTTTTTTTTTTTTAAGGGGGGAGGAGGGGGGCGAGGTTTTAAACGTTTCCGGTTTTTTCAAATGAATAAATTTTTTTTTTAGCGGGGAGTTGGGGAGGGGGAGAAGTTACGATAAAGTTTTTTTTTTTTATTTTTTTTAAATTGACCCTGGAGATATAAAATAAAAAAGTAAAGTCGAAGCAATTAAAAAGTAATTAAACTTTTTTTTTTTTTATTTAGTTAAAATATTATTATTATTATTTAAAAAAAAAAAAAAGCGGAAGTGGATGATGATGATGATGATGATAAGGGGGTTTGAGAAAACGTGAAAATGTTTGATATGAAAAAAAAAAAAAAAAAAATTTTATTTTCGGTTGATTTAACGAAAAGTTTTTTTTTTTTTAAATCAAACAAAATACAATTCCAGTAAAATATTCCAGGGGAATTTATTTTGGAGAAGTTATAAAAAAACGGTCCCCTTCCGGTTGATTCCCGTGACGGGGGGAGGAGAGGGGGAAAAAATAACAAAACTCGGATGATAAAAAAAAAAAAAAAAAAAGTTTACCGGGTTTTTTTATTTTATTTTATTTTGTCTTTTATTCGACGAAATTCCCTCGTGTCGCCAAAGTGTTAAAAAAATTTTTTTTTTGCTTTAAACTTTTTATTTTTTTTTTGTTGTTGTCGAATTATCGACAACAAAGAAATAAAACGACAAAAGACAAAATTTAAGTTTTTTGTTGAATTATTAAGAGGAAAACTCACTATTGTGAGATATAAAACAATAGATTTCCGGTATATAATCAATTTCCTTTTACGCAAAAGTTTTTGTTAAAATTTTTGGCGGGAAAAATTTATTTGAATAAGGTGAAACGTTTACCGGAAGATTGAATTCACTGACAAATTGTTTCCTTTTATTCATTCATCATTTTGTTCGTATTAAATGTAATTTTCTATTTCTCTCTGTCTCTCTCTCTCTCTCTATCTTTCTCTCGCTGTCTTTCTCTATTAAACGAATCGATTTTGTTTAACATATGGTTTTTTTTTATATATAAAATGTTATGTTAAAAAAATGACCGACCGACGCCATTTTCTTACTATATTCCTTCCTTCTTGCCTTCTTTTTTTTTATTCTATGTAAATGTCGACAAAATTTCAAACGTTTAAATCTCGACCTTTTTGCCCGTTCGTTTTTCTTTTTACTTTTATATATATAAATAAATTTTTGTCGTTTTCTCTCTCTCTATCTTTCTCTCTCTTTTACCTTTTTTCTCGTTCTTATTAGCGGCGTTTTTCTCTGTCTCATTCTATTATCTTTTTTCCCTCTCATTCACTCTTTCTTTTACTTTCTTTCTCTCTGTTTTTTTTTTACCTATTCCGTTCCTCTATTTCTCTCTAATTTTTTTCTCTATATAATTTTTCTCCCTTTCTCTCTTTTACCTTTTCTATTTTTCTTTTCTCTTTTTTTATTACTCGTTTTTGTTAACGCAGTATTTCTCTCTCTTTCTCTCTCTGTTTTTTTTACCTTTTGTTTTTTTCTTTCTTTCTTTCTCTCTTTTTTTTTTTTTATCTTTTCTGTCTACCTCTCTCTCTCTCTCTCTCTCTCTCTCTGTTTTTTTTATTTTTCGTTTTTTTCTTTCATTCTTTCTTTCTCTCCCTTTTTTTGTATTTTGTTTTTTCTTTTTTGTCTACCTCTCTCTCTCTCTCTTCTTTTTTCTTGTACTTTTTTTTTCTATTTCTATTTCTCTTTCTTTTCCTATCATTATTACCATTTCTCTCTCTCTTTTTCTTTCTTTCTGTTTTTTTTTTTTTTTTTTACCTTTTCTGTCTTCGTCTCTTTCTAATCTTTTTTCTCTTTCTTTTACCTTTTCTCCTTTTTTTTGTTTTTCTCTCTCTCTAATCTTTTTCCTCTCTTTCTTTTTCCTCTCTTTCTTTTTCCTCTCTTTCTTTTTCCTATTTTTTTCTATCTCTTTCTTTTTTCCTCTTTTTATCGTTTTTATTACCGGAGTGTTTCTTTCTCTCTCTCTCTCTCTCTCTTTTAATCGCTTATAATAAACGTAAATTTTCCATCGAAATTTTTTCTATTTTCCCCGACGGTTTTTCGATTAACATTTAAAAAAAAAAAAAAATTTGTCGGTTCGTTAACACTTTCGGGAGGGAGAAAGGGAGTTGGGAACGGAAACGGAAGAAGTTGAAAAAATTTTAAAGGGGTGGGGAAAACCGGAAACGTTTAAAACGTTTTTAATTTTTTTTTTGTTTGTTAATTAATTAAAACAAAAAAAAAAAAAAAAATCGGAAGTGAACGAAAACGAAAACGGCTACTGCGGTTGTTGTTTGTTTTTTTTAAAAAAAATTTTCTTTTCGTGGTTTTTTTTCTTCTTTCTTTTTTTTCCTTTTGCGCTTATCCGACAAACTCTTTCCGGTTTTTTTTATTTTATTTTTATCTTCATTAAAGAAAAGTTATATTAATGACGAAAACGGTTTTTTTTTTTTTTTTCTTTCCGATTGAGTAATGATATATAAAAAATGTCTTCTCATTTAAAATGTCGTAAAATGACAAATAAATTACTTTTTTCTTATTTTTATTCTTCTTCCACTTTTTTTTTCTCTTCTTCTTCCACTTTTTTTTCTCTTGTCGAGTTTTTTAAAATAAAATTTTTTTTTTTTTATTTTCGTTTCTTCTTTTGAAATTTTTATTAACTAAAAAAAATTCTTCTTCGGTACGAAAACGTTTTTTTTTTTTTTTTTTTTTTTTTCTTTCATTCCGAAAATTAATCATTCGGCTTTTTCGCTTTTTTCTCCCTCCCTCCTCCTCCCCCTCCCCCTCGTCTCCCCATCAGTTTCTTACCCCGACATTACTTTTCTAACTCTTCTCATTACCACCACCACCGCCTCCGCCGCCATTTACATTTTTCTCATTTAACTTTTTCTATCTTTTTCCTCTTTCCATAGCATTAAATTTTAAAACGGGGGGAGGAGGGGAGAAGGAGGGGAGGTGAATTTTTTTAAAAATCCAACTCGATCGATATCTAGTCTTTATTTTATTTATGTACATAATACATATAATAAATTTTTTTACGTGGGTTAAAAAAAAAAAAAATGCCTGGAGAACTTTAACGATTTTTTTTTTTTTTTTTTTTGTGTTTGCTGGAATCGAAAATTTTTCATTTACCAATTTGTTTTTATCTGGAAAACGTGAAACCTTTTAAAACGAAAAAAATCAGACGTAATAATAATAATAATAATATTTTGTCCGTTAATAATAAAAAGAAAAGAAAACTGGAAAATCAAAATTTTATCCGGATAAATTATTCAAATGGAAAAATTTCCTTTTTATTAATTATTATTAATTATTATTATATCGGTAGTAGTGGTAGTAGTGAAAACAGTTAAAAGAAAAAGGTTAATTAATCTTTATTTAAGTAAAAAAAAATTTTTTTTCCTTTTTTTAATTAATATGAAAATCGGCTGGAGAAAAGCTGGAAGAAAAAAAAAAATTTAATAAGTGAAAAAAACTTTTTTTTCTTTTTTTATTTCTCCCCCCTCTTTCTCCCGCCGCCGCCCCGCCGCTCCTCCGTTAAAACTTTCGTTTTTTTTTTTTTTTTTTAATTTTCTTTTTATAAAGTTTTTTTTTTTTTAAAAACATGTTTGAATGAAAAAAAGACAAAGGAACCGATTAAAAGGAAAAAAAAGAAACAAAAAAAAAATTAAAATAATAATTTATTATTCATTGATATTCTTATGTTAATTTTTTTTCTACTTCTTCTTCATTTTCTTTTATTATTATTATCACTATTATTACTATTATTATTATTATTATTATTATTATTATTATTATTATTATTATTATTATTATTATTATTATTATTATTATTATTATTATTATTATTATTATTATTATTATTATTGACTCCAGGCATTTTTTTCGTCGTACCTCGTAATAAAAAAAAACTCGTCATTTCTTTCTTTTTTTTTAATTGGATATAAAAAATGCTGAAAAAAATTAATTTCTCTAATTTTTTTTTTTTTTTTTGGTTAACTGGAAAAGTTTTTCTTATTAAAATATTATTATTATTATCATCATAATCATCAATATTATTATTATTATTATTATTATTATTATTATTATTATTATTATTATTTTTATTATTATTAATTATTTAATTCATTAACGTTTACGTTTTTTTTTTTTTTTTTTTTTTTTTTTTATTAAATTAATTTTTATTTTTATTAACAAATGAAAAAAAGAAAAGTTTTGAGTGTTCTTATGGAAAAATTATTATTATTATTATTATTATTATTATTATTATTATTATTATTATTTTTATTATTATTTTATTATTATTATTAATAAAGTTAACAAAAAGAAAAAGCAAAAAGAAAAAAAAGGGAAAAACTTTCATGCTTGAAAAAAAGAAAAAAAAAAGGACAAAACATAACAAAAAAACCGCAAAAACACAACAAATAAAATTTGATAATAATAATAATAATACTAATAATAATAATGATAATAATAATAATAATAATAATAATAATAATAATAATAATAATAATAATAATAATATTAAAAGTAATTAAATTAGTAAAAAAACAAATTAAAACGAAAAGGACAGGAAAAAAAAAATTCAGTTTCCCTCCCCTTTCTCTTTCCGTCTTACTCTCCTCCTTCTTCCCTCCTCCCCGT